GTAGTCTTGTCTTAAAGGCAGGATATATGTCTGCTCTTTAGGAGCTGGGAGATGCTCACTTCTGGAGCCCTGGGGCTCACCCGGGCTGGATCAGGGCACAGAGAGCCTTGTTCATTTCATAACCCAGTGGGGCTTCCAGACACTGAGTCGCTGTCACTCTGAGCTGCTCGGCCGCTGGCGAGTCCACTGGGCAGCACAACAAGCTCACACATCTCGGGAGAAATTGGCCCATAAACTCCAAGAGGCTCGAGACTCTGGTGTTTGGCTGCCACAAACATCAGGTTACCAACACACTGGTTAATCAATAACCCAATTTTGTTTAATCCCTAGGTCTTAACATTTGACACCTTTTGTCCCCTTTCCAATTTTTACTACACTGGAAAGTTAGCCAGCCTCCTTTTTGCTTTTTAAGGCAGAGGAGGATGCGGGGGGAGGGGAAGCAAGGATATCTTCTCATCTCAAAAGTGACCAAATATTCTGAGATTGCTTCACATACATGCATGCGCTTCCCACTGGCTCCTCACAGCCTCCAAAATGAAAAGACCTTTTGAGACCATCAGAGTAACTCTGGGGAGCAACACACCTAACCCAAGTCATAACTGTAGAATCGTTATCAATTATAACTCCAACCAAATATGATTGTATGTTCAATTGGCTTGGCGTAGATAGATGTATGTTTGTGCAATAAATGCATCTGTCAAGATTGTTTTTATGCTCTAAGCTGGATTTTCATTAAAGAAGTATTAATTTAAATTAAGCACTCTGAGATCTTTATTAGTAAAGTAATCAGCAGCAAATAAGCTGGTTAATCAGTTTATATACCCATATATATCTTTCAGAATCAATGTTTTCAATTGAGACCGTTGCCAAGTGGTTAGAATAAGACAGAGAGAAAACTCGCATGAAATACATTTCATTTGCTAGGCTGAAGCCTGCCGCGGCCCTATTGGCGTCTCGGAATGCAGTCATTGATGCATCTACGATGACTGTGTAAAATGTGTTTAATTGGCATGAAAAGGCACTAACTGAGAGCCGGTGGGTTTCCATTATCTGGGTGGACATCTTATTTACTTTAGTGGATCCTGGGAACAAGATGAAAGTATATGAGAACTGAGGTGGGGGGTTGGTACTTAAGCCGATGGGTTTTCTTGGTTGGTAGGGGGTGGCGAGTAGGGAGTTTTATAATCATCCAGGCAATGCAAAATGCAGCTCGGCAACAGCCCAGGTCTCCCTCGCACCCTGAGGAGAAAGCCCAGTGGAACATTTTCCTAATTAGAATCTGCCAAATGCTGTTCACCCGGGGCGAAGCGGGCAAGCATGGTGGGTCCTTACATTTCCGAGGCTGCATTTTCATACCACTCCTCCCTTCCATGTAGCTCAAAAACAGGGTGGAGGAGAAGGGATCATTTTTAACTTCAACCTCAAGTCACAAAGGGGCACACAGGGGGCTTCTTTAGATGCCTAGTGCTCGGTGGTCATCTGAATGTCTTCAGAATCCCTTGGGAGGTTGGACATGCCATGGTACCATTCTGTTTGGTGATGCCTACAGTTACCAGTTTCCTGCTAAGTGAATACTTCATATTTCCATTAATTGCTACATTACAAATTGTTCCATATTCCAGTGGTGGAAGTTCACTCCGATGCCAGCTGTGGAGTGACAACATCTACACACTGTCCCAAGAGGTTCCCACATTCCGTGGGATTTGCCTTTTGAGATCGTTATTTAGTGCATAATTCTCACGTCCCAGGTATGAGGGATAAATAGAGAGAGGGTGACATGAGGATTATTTTCATCCTATTGAATCCTCCATGGAGAGGGCTTATTAACGTGTTTCTAAGTGTTTCGGAGGCTCCCGGAGTACCGTAATACCCTCTATGGTGGGTATTATACTCACTTCTACCCCAATTTTCAACCCAAAGACCTCTCAGGAAATGGGTCTCAGTTGCAAGCCATGTAAACTGGGGTTATTAAAAGCTGAGACAGATAGATGCATTAAGAGAATATATTTCTTACTTTAAAACATACTTTATTTGTACGTATTTGTTTTTGTTTTGTTTTTTTTTGCAGCGAATAAAGAGCTTTACAATGAAGTCTGGTTTCTACAGAACATTTTGAAGGCTCCTCTGTATCTGTATCTGGAATCCGTGAAGTTGGAAGCTTAAATGAACTGGCAGATTGGGAATCCCCCTCCCCAAATCACATCCTTACTTCTTCTCCTTAAGGATGAGGCAGGTGTTAACTTCACCCAAGTACTGGCTCTCACAACTCACAGCTCAGGATTTGTGCGAAATATCAGCTCTTTGGCAACAGGCACTGGTAATAAAATAAGCCTTTTGATCAAATTTATCATTGAAGGTTTTTTTTTTTTTCTCTCAATTGGAAATCAGAAGAGGGAAAAGACTAGTAAACAGGATGCTGGGTTAGCTGTACTAAATAATACTATTGAGCTGTCAGCCCTGGATTACTGGGTGTGAAAACTATAAACCCTGTCTTGTGCTCATACCTGGTGGAATCCTTTGGAGAACTTAGGTGGCCAGACCTGGAATTTCAGGCAGTGTAGTAAATTCTTAAGGATTGTACTTTGCTTGGCAAAGAGGATGGACATTCACTTTTCAGCCCTACTCTTTTCCTTCTCATTGCTCCCTGAAAGATCCAACATGCTACTGGTCATTAAATATCCCATAATTAGCAAAATTTTTTGTACTAATATTTGTATAATACTACCACTTAATAGGTGCCAGACATACCAAGTGATTTCCATGTAATTATCTCATTTAATTTTCATCACTATTCTATGACATGGAGACTTTTATTATGCTCCATTTTACAGGTGAGGAAACTGAGTCACTCAGCAGTTAAATAATGAGCCCACGATCACACACAGTAGCGGACAGCTGAGCCAGGCCTCACAGTCAGTACTCTTTGACTTAAAAGCGTAGGCACTGAACTACCCTCTACTGCCAGCCAAATCCAACTTGGGGAGTTTAGCCAAGGCAAATGATGTGATCCTTTACTGGCATGAGGGTTATTTTTGGGGCTCAGAATGATCAAATGTCATGGAAGGATCTTGCTCTGTCTTCATTACAACCCCACTATAGCTTAGCCAAACCCTCACTGTCAATGCTCCTTACAAGATGAGCAGATCTCCACATGCATCCAACCCCCAAGCTGTGAAACCGGGCTGACTGCTGAGTCCTCTCATTCCTCTGGGATTCAGAGGAGGCAGCATTGTATGGAAGAGCACAGCTGAGGCGGGAAACAACTCTTCCACTGGTCATCCATGTAACTGTGAGCAGGTGACTCAACCTCACTATGCTTAAGTTTTTTCATGTCTGAAATGAGGAAAATAGCAGAATCTACTTCATAGGATTACTATGAGGATTACATGAGTTAATACTGATGTGGTGCTTGGGATGTGGTCAGGGCCATAGAAAGCTTAGTTACTAGTGTTATGTAATTATGTTGCCCTGTAACTCTCAAAGACGCTGAGACAATGATCTTGAACTTTTGGATGAATCCAATTTGGCTAACTGAGACAAGGACACGTTTCTTACCACTCCTGGGAGAACCGGGTGTTCCACAGAATTGGCCCGCCGTTCTGAAATTATCTAGACATGCCCTGCCTGTGTTTGCATATAAAATTGTACAAGTCATGTATTTGTAAGAAATGTCATTTCTTCACTCATTCATTCAACAAAAATGCTTTGTACTTTTGCTCTGAATCAGGTACTGGAGACACAAAACTGAACAAGGCCATTCCCAAAGAGCACACAGTCCAGATGGCAGCAAATAACCTAACTGTGACACAACATGGCAAATGTAGTAAATGCTTCAATGGAAGCATGAAAAAAGCAGAGGAAATGAAATGTGTTTGTACTGCTGGGTCAGGGGCAGTCACTGAGGCCTTCCCAAGCAAGCACCATTTGAGCCAAGGCTTGAAGAATGAGTTAGAATTGTCTGTTGGTGGATGAAGGCTGGATATGGACATCCAAACAGAAAGGACATCTTGAAAACAGGCATGAAGCTATAAAAATTTAGGCTGTATTTGGGGAACATTCTCGGTAGGGCTGTGGTGGCGGTGCCCCACGCACTGGAGTAAAGACGAGACAAGCAGCAGAGCAGGCTGTGAAGGGGAACACTCATTTCCTAGAGGCAGAAAGCAATGGTGTCTCATTTTGTTGGTTGCAAGGAACAGAAATGGACTCTGGCCCTTTGAGAGAACAGAGACTATATAGGAATGATTTGAGGCACCAACAGAAGTGAAGTGAAGACTGTCTTCTTTGGGGACAACCCCACTGAGTTTTCTACCTTTGCTTTGATTCAAGATCTCAGGAGAGAGACTCT